TATTTGTATGAAAAATTATAACTGACCCTAAATTTGAGCAGCCTGCAACATGTTTGGTTCAAATAACATTTATAAAAGTTGTAGATTTTAAAAATTAGCGCATTTTTGTGAATACTACACGAAAATATAAAATCAGGCCATGATGAGCAAAACAATTAATAAAATAACAAAAACTAAACTATTTTGGTTTTCTGTTTTTCTTAGAGATAAAATAGAAAATTTTGTAACGATTTCTACATTGAAAGGCGTCCTGTTCGATAAAAGTGTATAGTCAGCTTATTTTCTGCAATTGCATGACTTTGCAATGGATTTTATGACGGATATATAGAATGCAATAAGCGGAACACTTACACCAAAAGGTTATTCTTTAACTATTTTATTGTGTCTCTAAAATTTAAACCAATAGAAATTCAAATGCTTATACCGAATAACCAAAAATGTTTTACGTAACTGTTAGCTTAAGTTTTCAATGTTCATTAATATAAAGTGCACAGATAAATTCCTATTTAATTCTAAACGGGTAATCGGCAGAAATTTTCAAATACATATATAAATGTAAATGTAAATGTAAATACAAACAAACTTTCCAAATAATCCCGTGGTGTAACGATATGTATATGTTCTTAGTATATGAGATACAAAAATTACAATATAACATAAATTCTACTCATGTGTTTTCAAACCCAAGAAGATTTGTATTATGCCATATAAGAATTAAGTACAGACAGTACAATGAACGCCATCTGTAGAGCTACTTATTGTGGGATTGTGTACTGTATAGGATATCAACTTGTCAAAGTTGGCAGACATGTTAAGTTTAATCGTTTGAGATTTACAACTTTCTCATTAAATAACATAAAATCTCATGAACATTTTACAAGACTTTAATATGATATATATAGATATATACTATAATAGGTACACTGACGGGTAAATCTCTATACCATCCCCTTTCCGTAGAGTCTCTGATACGTTTTGCGTCGCCTACTTTGGTATTCCAGTTTATGCTGGATATAAATGAAAACCCTTCTCACATTAGATTTACCAATTTCCTCAGAGGTAGAACGCTGTTCAATTTTCCTTCTTACACCTAACACAGTTTTATCTCAATTCTTGCGGTTCTCTGTGTGCTGTTATACCTTTTAAAATTATTTCAAGCGAGACTTCGCTTTCCTATCATCCATTAATTCATTAATTATTTAATTACGTCAAAGGATTTTGATAATATAAACACCTGAAACATAATTGCCTACACGGAGAAATTGAAACTGGAAAATTTACCTAAATATTAAAGAGATATTTACAATTTATCCCAGTAGCCTGTTGCTTCGTAAACGAAAATAATAAAAATTACATTTTGAATCCAAATAAAATCCCAGCAGAAATAAATTTACAAGGTATTTTAGTTGATATTACAAATTTAATTGTAATAATTGAGAAACTTGAAATATTTTTTATAGAAACATGTCAAAATTGAGATTCTTACAAGTTGCCTAATAAATTCTAAGATTTTTACGACAAATTCAGTCATTTGCAATCGAAAATTGTAATTTTTGCGTTGTTATAAAAATTTATTTTTCTCCGTATAGCTTATCTTTGTACTTTTATCTTGTAACTTAGCCAAAAAGGAAATAGAGATATTTATTTTATCTTGAAAATACATAACGAAACAAAATTTAGAATTAAATGTCTAATTATGGCAGTACATTGCGATCCCTTAATATGTGCTACTAATGGAATATTTCATGTTAAACGAAGTCCTTACTAAGGTACTTACAACTTGTCTAACTGAATCGACTACGTAGTGTAGTGAACCATATTAAGTATAGGTAATCAAGTATAGTTAAGCCGTCGTCTCGAGTCGCAAAAGCTGCAAATTATTAATTGCATAATTTACCAGACAGTTACCCTACCCCTACGCCCCTCCCCAGAGGTTAAGTATGATACAACTTGACATAATATAATTATTACAGTGCAAAGCAGAATTGAAATGGGAAATTAGGGAATATAATTTTGTTATACTTTCATTGGCGAAATATCTCAGGTTGACGATGAAATTCTTTTGCGACTCGAGACGTTGATCTATGTATATACGCTCAGCACGCCATAGACTGTCTCTTTAATTTAATCGGTGATTTATCGATGCTGGTAATGGCGTGCTGATGAGGTCTAAAATCGCGATCCCTGCTTGGTGGTTTCGGTAGAATTATTGACGCGATCTTTTGGAAATAATTACTAATACATACATACCTATAAATAATATAATTCTTATTTTGCGTTCATTGTTTTTCCTATTTGAATAAACAAACTTATGTTGAAATAAATTAGAATTCGAAAACTGTAATTCGTTGACCAGCAGTCTAATGTTTACAACATATAAGTTCTTTACTTCAAATATGTTTTACTTTTGTTCATTTGGTCAACCCCTTTCAGTTTACGTAATTATGAATAATAATTGGAAGATAAAAGATAAATATTTTACAGTATACGACAGCATAGCACGAACAAGTGATTTCAAAGTTCACTTTAGCGACTTTTATACAGTGTATAACCACGCACTTTGCTCTTATAATTATAAAACGTTTATTACCGGTTTATAATTAAAAAACTTCAGCATGAAAACGTGGAAAAATAAAATAAGGTCACATAACGCGAATGACATTTTATAAAAACCGCCCTTGATTCTTCAAAACCATTTATCTCCTTGGTTCATTCTCACGTATCCTAAAGGAAGAAAAGTTGTTGAGTTTAGTGCCATCATTTTCTTCGGACTCTTTCAGAGACACAGAGTTAGAAATCTTCCTTTATTCATTTCATCGACGTAGCAGACGGTAGAGATAATAAATACCCCTCGAGAACGTCGTTGGAACTTCATAATTAAAAACTGCTCGGAGCCGAGCCGAGCCGTGCGAAGCTGTTATCTTATTTTGTCATTTTCGTTTTCATCAGACGAAATTTTATCCCAAAACCGTCGACCGTGGCGCTAACTAACGACAATAGCAACATGTCAGGCGAAAGTATCAAAGGTGTGTGTGTGTGTGTGTCTAGATAACCTGTGTGTATGTGTGCGTAGCGAATTAAATTCACTCCAGAAAATACATTACCCAAAAACAGGAGTGTCTACGACCCTTGGAAAATACAATTATTGCTACTTAACACAGTATAAAAGACAGAAAACTGCTTCATATTTCTTTTTATAAATAGAACACAATATCAATTTCGAAACCATTAAGTGATGAAGTGTTGTAATTGCGGTGAAATTAATGGCAAGAAAGGTCTTGTTGTGGACACCCTTATCAATTATGAAATGTAATTGCTTACAGTCCGAAAAGGGGTCTAAAGTTTTAATAGGTAAACTTTGCGCAAATACTGCTGAAGTTGCTACTTTTAAGGTATACAATCCATAAACGTTTCATTTGTTACAATCAAACAGGTCTTGTAATAAAAATGTTTAGAAAACTTAACCGTAATTACGTTTGCTAATAATCTAAAATATTTGTTGCAGCCATTACGAACAATTCCCTACATTCGATGAATACATTTCTGGTTTCGAAATTAGTATGATAACTGACGTTTAGTTTTATTATATTAAAAAAAATGTTACCACCATTTTAATATGTGGTATACTCAACCGCTATTCTATAAGGAATAGAAATGGTACTATCAGGTACCTAACTATTAATGTATGTGTACAAAAGTGTTTATTTTTACTTGCATGCATATGAGGGGCGGGAAGGGACTGTGGCTATTGTCACTTACCGATTGTGAATAAAACACAGCAATTTAAGTGTAACGTGTTTAAAATTCTAATGTACATATTACTACGAGTATAATACATGAAAATTACCGTATTTCGTTATGTACTTCTACATTGTCCAAATTTTATTTGTATCGATTACTTGACGAAGGGTTATGGAGTATGTTTACCCCGATTCTGGCATTAAAGTAGATTAAGTTTTTCCAAGTGATTGAGTTCTAAGCATGAAAGCATGTGTTTGACAGCGAAAAAAGTCAAATAGTATAGGAAATGTAATAAAGTATTGGCTTTGGTACTACACGAAACAGAAGTTCGATTCGAAAAACCTATATTTTATTCCTGAGATGTACTTTTTATGCCTAATAAACCGGAAGAATAATCTTTAGTCTTTAATAATGTTTTTTGAAAATCCCATAAAATTTCAGATTTTAATAGGCTTAATACCTCATTGGGTTTCGTTGAATTTCATTAATGAAACTCCTTGCTGAGCGCCGATGATTTATATGGCATTTTTCGGGTGCTTCAAAGGCAACTGTGTCAGAAATTTTAAAATTTCCCTTTAAAATACGTAACTCAACCACAACAAAAATCAGTGTTGGACTTCTAGTTTGCAATTTTTAAATAAAATAGTAAACTGTGTCTACTCAACTAATATGTTATACCTATCATTAACCCTTATAAAAATATACTTACAAATATTGTTACTAAAAAAGCCTTTTTTATGTTCATTTTTGAAATAGTTAATTTATAATAATTTATTTAAAATTACTGTAGCATCGGGAATATTTTAAAGGCATTAGGTAGAGTAATTTCTTAGTTTACATTTAAGAATAGTTAGCATAGTCGTAGGGGTTATGTAAGAAAGAGAGGGAATGTAGAAGGTAAGCCGTTGGTCCCTTGGCAGTAGGAGAGGGTGAGAAATAAAAGTCATTTCCGGCAAGGAAGACGGGAGTGTGTTAAGATGTCGGAGTAAGAGTATATTGTTTTTGTAAATCTGTGTATATATATTATTATTAATTAATCTTTTAAATAGATCGATCGATCCCCGTTGTGCATTCGTCCTAAAAACATCCCACAATATTTTGGGGGTTCAAATCGTGCATTACTAATACACTTTTTAATAATAATAATTGGTTATTCGCAAATGAATGCATTATATATATATGTATATATAAATAGTAAACACACTCGGCAGTGTCTCTACTGTGAATAATATAATACGATAAATTAAAAATTTACTTACCGGCCAAAGGAGTTTTCCTGTGATGTCCGGGTAATGGCCAGTCTACCTGATGTAACTTAGACGACGCGTTCATTTTATACTTCAAAGTTAACACACCAGTACGCAAGTTGGAGTTGATTTGAAACCAAGGAGTCAACCTCCCGGGGGAATTGATAGAAATCAAAGTTCCCAGATTATTTTTCTGCTGACGGAAGAGGAAGATAACTGTAAACCCCGAGGGCCTAGACATGGCCGATGTTACGGCGGAAGAATTGGCTACAGGGACGTTTCCATATGGCAAACGAAATTTGTATGCGGGAAAATTCTTTATTGGACCCTGCACGATCGAAACACCCGGATCTTTGGCTGTGATGTTGATAAGTTTTAAAATATCCACCTCATCTGAAAGAACAAATAAAATAGGTTGTATAAGAAATTCTGTATCAACTGACTTAGCCCCGTCATTTTTAAAAAAATAAAAAACAATATTTGTGCGAATTTGTGAAATAAATTCATATAAAATTCTTTCATAAGTAATATAAGTTAATAAGATTAATTTGAGGTTATCTGTAGTGGTAAAAATTAATTTAAAAATTACTTCACTTTAATATATTTAAGTTAACCCTATAAAAAAAATTCTGTCTCATTGTTAATAATGATTAATTATGCATTGGTTCGACGATCATGTGGTCTAGTAGTTAGATACGTATCGTCGTTGTTGTTACTGTCACGTTTCGTAGGTGGTAGAGCAATGCTACATAAAGCGAGGGAACCCAGGTTCGATTCCCGGCGAAAACGTGGTGGCAGCAACAATTTTTCCTCTTTAATTTCAGGTTATTTTAGTTCAAAAATTACTTCACTTTATTGTATTTAAATTAACTCTACAAATTTTTCTGTCTTATAATATAAATTACCGTAACGTAATGAAACCTAATCCGAGAATGTATATTTTTAAGAAAAAAATATCAGTGAGCAATATTTTTTTTTTGATACCGAATGTTGCCAAACGGTATATTACAGGACAACGCCAGCACAATTCAACAGAACAGTTCTTTATTTGTTTTGAGAAATGGTGGATCCAAAGTTACCAGACACGAGAAGTTAGCACATTATGAATCATAAAAAATTAAAAGCGTTAGCGGATGCTATAGGTATAAACTTTTGAAACTGCAAGTAATTTTTCACTTCAACAATAATAAATCTGCTGAATAAATAATATTTAAGAAAGGACAAAGGAAAATGTCCGAGAAAATAGGAGTTGTCGTTTATCATTCGAAATAAAATTTCAAAGGAATCCTTGTTTTGTTCCAAAATTATATGAAACTTATTGACTTCTGTAGAGTCCTTATTTCTCCTATTCTTTCTAATACCTTTTCATTTCTAACCGTCTATCCACGGTATCCTCATCACTTGCCTGTAGCACCACATTTCGAACGCTTCTAAACTTTTCCTTTCCGTGGCGCCCACCGTCCACGTCCCGCGCTCCAAACGTACACCTTGTGAAAACTTTTTATTGAAAGCGACTCGACCCTGCACTATCCTCTGCTCTATATCGCTTTTACTCCTTCCGCCCTGACTTATGTGAGTTCCTACATACTGAAAATCAGTCTTCTTCTAATTTTTCGTCTCCTATCTTTATATTCGCCATTTCCCTACTTTTTCTTCCCTTGCAAACCAGTATTTTTCTTTTACTTTTATTTGTCTTCGTACACTAACATTTATCAATATCGCTTCCATTTTATTTAAAGCTATCTCTAACTCCTCCTTACTTACTGCTAATGCTGGTATATCATCTGCAAATCTAAACATACTAATTCTTTGTCTCTGCATATCTATCATTACAGTTGCACCGCAAAATTCACCATCCAGAGCAACACTAAAACTGCTGATATTAAGGATAAACATCATACATTTATTGCTTGATCCTTAAAACGATACTGTATTATTACCAGCACTTTCGCTCGGCGGCGCCACAACCGGTGAAAAGTTGCCCATCTCCAATTGCTTTTGTTGACATTTATTATCATTACTATAGTACCTATATGAATCGCATAGTTACAGCTAGTACAAAATTACTTTTTGAAGTTGTTCAGTTTGTTTTGTGTCGTAAATTCGTACGGTGCAAACTTCCGTTAACTGGGTTATTACCAGAGATGCATTCGATAGTGATTCTGCCTGGCAGACGATACTCGCGAATAGCTGAGCCGGGTACTCGGCCGGATACTTGACAAAACCACTACGGTTAATTGTTTATGTCTTCGTTCTAATGGGCTTTCCATTAAATACCACCCTAACTAACGTCCCAAACCACATTAACTGCCGTTCAAAAAGTCGATTAAACACTGAACCAATGAAGTTTTAATTCTTGTTTGACGGATTTTTACCATCACAATCATCTTAATTATCAGTTGTCATTAGGTAGGTTTTTTGTTATAGTTATTGAATGATTATTTATTGCTAGTGTTGGTTTTTTCTTTTGTCTTTGGCCGAGAACCCGGCATCACTATCCAGTCCCTTGCCTGCTCCTAAAAAAAGTGTCTGATCCAAACCGCATATCCGGCCCATCTCTAGTTCTTACGGCCCCTAGAGTGTCTATAGCCGTGTTCTAGTATCTTTACAAGGGCAGTATAACTATTAACATTGAGGAAGTTAATTAGAATAAATTCGAAACTAAATTTATGTTTTGTACTAAAAACGTTATTCGAATTAGGTCATAGTAGTACCAATATATGAATACTTTTATGTCAGTATTCTGTTTCCTTTATTCTCAAATAATTTTTAAAGCATTTTTTTCCAACGTATGAGCACACAAAGCTTTATTGTAGCTATGTGCAGATTGTTAATGAAAGTTTGTGCAAAAGTAGTCACCCGATGGACAGAAACTTTTTTAGATGAATTATTTTATCTTTCGCATTGCAAAATTTAATCATGCTTCAAAAGTTTTTTAATTAAAACATAACTGAAAATACGGGCACGACCAAAGCATGTTTCTGTTACTGTATAACGGATATAAACACATTGGTATGCAATTCTGCACCTTATTACATATACAGAATATTTAGCCATAACAGAAATTTCTTTGTCGACATTTTTTCTTTATGTCCCACGAGCGAAAATGCAATTTGGTGGACGTGTGGCATAGGTAAGCTCTTTTAACTGCGTCTGTTTGAAAATATCACCTGGTTTTCTAAAAGTTCTTCTAAACTAGCCGAAGCCTTACAATGTTTTGAGTAATGCGCAACACACCTAGAAAGCTTCTATTACGTTTATTGGGCTTATATTATTTAGGTATTACTTATTTGAAAAGATAACTGAAGGTATTTGTATGAATTTCCCTATACTTTTTTGTATTTGATTTGTTTGTATTTGTAAGATGATGCCTATGTTCGGTTTTCAGTTCGCCGGCACTGTATGTGCTTTCTTCTTAATGACATTTCACAGAAAATGTAGTTATAGGTGGAGCAATTAAAATTGGCAAAGTCCTCAATAAATTATATCTGTGAAATAGATGTATCTTTTCTCTTATTTCCACTTGGGTCTGTAGTCATTTGCCGCATTTTGAACACGCCCTTGTTAAGTTAGGAAATGCTTCATGAGTAGTACATACAAATTGAAAACAGATAACCGAATAATTTCCTTCTGTTACAAATTAATTGGTGTAATATTATTTGTCCGCTGCAGTTCCTACCTGACATCTCTTTTATATGTTTATGATATTCCCTATAACGTCTGTCGTGTGTAAACTTAGGCGTTCTGTCAGCAAACACACTAGTCTAGTTACATTAGTAACATAAAAGAAGAAAGTAAATGCGACAGTTTTATTGCGGACTATGCCAATGTTGTACGCATCAACTATAGCTATCAGTGCCAAAAATGAAAATTCACTTACTTGCTCCATTTAAACGACAAATGGATTATAAATGCCTTTGGATAACAAATTTGTAAGAAAAAATAATTACATCACTTTTTATAAAAGGATCTATTAAAGGCCCAAAATAGCATCCTTTAGTGTTTTTGATAATCGTATTTGTCAATAATTATTATGTTTAAACAGACGCCCTCCTATGTTGTATATTGTCATATATACAAGTGTTGTTGATTTTCTCATATTGTTCCTGTAATCATTTTTTCAGTCGTTTTATTCCACCACTTTACACAAAACGTTGAAAAATATAAAGCGATATCTGCAGGCCTACGAAGGTTCTTTAAGGTCAGAGGTCACAAAAATCAGTTTTTTACAAAAATCCCGTGTATTTATGCCTGAGTGGTGAACAGAAAAATAATAAAATTTTATTCACAAATCGTTATATCCACATTTAAAGACGAAAAACGGCTTCAAAAGGAAGAACGTTCGAGTTTCTCACAATAAATAAACTTTAAAGGGTTTGATGATATATTTATATTGATAAAATTCAATGAAAATATACAAATATAATTCATTAACTATAAGAACAACAATAAATATAGGCTCAAAATGTGTATTTAGAATAAAATTTGGATTATAGTGTTTTGATTAATTCAATTCCACAAAATTCCGTTTGATTTTGTTGTATACAAAACGACAGAAAGGAAAAAGAAAACTTAGTATTGTCTTTTCAGACTTCCGAACTTCGAAATGAGAAAAAAAACGAAACTCTAATATACAATATAACTTCTTGTTGTTCGTCAATCATTTCACTGATTGACACATCAAAATCTATAAGATACTTCCCGTTGACCTACAATTTTGAAATTTGGGATAAAATCAATGAGGATATCGGCTTCGGTTAAACTAAACTCAATGAGAAGTTGATATCCGTATCAGAAAAGGACCTCGATGAACATTATTGAATCCAACAATAAATAGTAAATTTCCGAAGACTTTATCCAGGTTCTTGTCCCGGTTTAATTTTATGGATATGGATATGTGTGTTTCGAAAGGTAATATTTACTTGTGTGGTTTGATACTCCATGCTAATAACGTTCAAAAATCTCACGAGCAAGATTTTTCGAACCATGTAGATTTGGTTTTAACCTTTCCTTTGCTCTACGTTTTCCGCAAACTTATTCTGCTATTTATGTTCGTATTACGTACGTTACCCGGCAACAAGAAATACATCCTGAAGATTTGATATAGAACCTAAATGCATGCGTTTGTGCATTTACCTGCTCGTATATACGGCATAGGTACATTTAATTTCAAATTTCAAAGAGCAAACTTAACACGAATGTTGAACTTTTATTTTTTGCCCAATTAAAATAAGCATACTCGTATTTATTTTCCGTTTTTGCTTGCGCTTTTCTATTCACATTATTAATAAACTAAATGGGAAATATTTATGTCGTTGTAGAGCAACGTTTTTGTTTTCTTTTTATTCTTAATTCTTCTCAGTGTTTAAGTATAAATATTTTGCTTCTTAATAATATAAAATATTCCATGTAGCAATCCATTAGAAGGTATAGGTAGCAATTTTATTCATTTTTCAATATTTTCTTCACCATTAATCTTTTATCTTTTCCTTTCGCATTTCTGGTCCATTTTCTTGTCTAATTGTTTTATTTTCCACATTACATTATTTTTTATAAATTTTTATACGAATTTCCTTTATCCTATACTTAGTATTCATATTTTTTCATTTGTCTTTTCACAGGCTTCTAATAGTATCCTTTAGTCGAACAAAATAATTAGAAGTGGTTTGTATTCTGTCGAAACTGCCAGACGCGGATCGCGATTTCGATCTTTTTGGATCTCATCAGCGCGTCGCAGGCAGCTCCGACAGAACACAGACCAACCTTTACCTGCTGTCTTTTTGGACCTTGTTGGAGCGTACGTAATCCTATAATGTAGCATCGTACTACAGATGGCGCTCACCACGCCATTTGTGGCATTTTCCAGTATCCTTTAGTGTTTTCTTATTCTTATTATTTTAACTTTGAATAACCACATCAACGTTTCAAAGTTCGTTTTCACTAAGCCGGCGCGACATTTTCATCATATTAAGGTTGTCGGATGTTTCTGTTCCCACTGTTATATCGGAACGACGATTGTATCGGGACAACAGGAATATCTGTGCTGTTAGTAATCGTTCGTATTATCGTCAATCACACGTTGCACTTTCGTACTGCAATGGATGTTGACGAAATTGTGGTCCCCCATGTAGTAATTTCGAAGAAGAATACATAATATTAAAAAAAAAAGAAAATACTGGGTATACCCAATTTTAAAGCAATGATTTTTCTTGGGAACTTTCCAGTTATTAATTAACGTATTCTAATTTAATTGTAGTCTACAGAACTGACGGGAAAGACAATAGGGGGGAATTAATTTCCGACACGGCATTTTTATAGGACATATTTAGGGAATCGGATCGGTTCATATGTGAATAGTTTCATATACGTTTCACTAGCCGATACCGATAGTGATATAGCGTTAACTACAGTGACAATTTCGGAGCTTTTTCATTGAACGGTATATATATATGTATATATAAATAGTAAACACACTCGGCAGTGTCTCTACTGTGAATAATATAATACGATAAATTAAAAATTTACTTACCGGCCAAAGGAGTTTTCCTGTGATGTCCGGGTAATGGCCAGTCTACCTGATGTAACTTAGACGACGCGTTCATTTTATACTTCAAAGTTAACACACCAGTACGCAAGTTGGAGTTGATTTGAAACCAAGGAGTCAACCTCCCGGGGGAATTGATAGAAATCAAAGTTCCCAGATTATTTTTCTGCTGACGGAAGAGGAAGATAACTGTAAACCCCGAGGGCCTAGACATGGCCGATGTTACGGCGGAAGAATTGGCTACAGGGACGTTTCCATATGGCAAACGAAATTTGTATGCGGGAAAATTCTTTATTGGACCCTGCACGATCGAAACACCCGGATCTTTGGCTGTGATGTTGATAAGTTTTAAAATATCCACCTCATCTGAAAGAACAAATAAAATAGGTTGTATAAGAAATTCTGTATCAACTGACTTAGCCCCGTCATTTTTAAAAAAATAAAAAACAATATTTGTGCGAATTTGTGNTATTTAGGGAATCGGATCGGTTCATATGTGAATAGTTTCATATACGTTTCACTAGCCGATACCGATAGTGATATAGCGTTAACTACAGTGACAATTTCGGAGCTTTTTCATTGAACGGTACGGTACCGATATATTGGCGATATAACGGAACGATTTTGAGGAGTGTGGACGTGGTACCGATATATCATTATCGATAACCTGTCGATCACGATAAATCGGTATAGTACATGGATCAATGAAAAAGCATCATAAATCGATCACTGAAAAAACTCTCTTAATTGTACATAGAGTAACGCACTGAACAGTTTCATCGTTCCGATGTAGATATTTATCGTTCCGACATAGTGGGAACGCGCTCTTACATCAAGGTATCCTTAGCACTTAACAACATGAGATAGATTTGTTTTTTAATTCTACGGAGAACTTATAGAAAATATGTTTTCAGTAGTGACACTGATATATGCCACAATTTATTATAGCAAATATTGTTATGGATATCCATATCGATGGTGACATCTGTAAAGAGACTCATCTGCTATTCAGGACATTGAGTAACGCATTATGTAAATGTTTGAGAAAATAGATCCGTTTCGAATGACAAGAACCTCTGCACGTTCCGGATGTTCCGAAAACATTACATTCAAAACTCTATTTCCGTCGCTTATTCCGCAGCATTAGATTATAGATACACTTGAAGCGTTCGTTGTAACAGCTGGTCAAGGGCTATGTTTCAATGTATGTTCGGTCCGTATTGTTCTTGTTAAGTAGGTATACTTACCACAAATGCAAATGCGATAAATCTATTTATTAAAACGCTGTTTAACAACGCAATTACATGATTTAATTCTTGTCAAGACGAGCACAGAACGCGTCAAAACGTTTGAAAATTAAAAAGAAGGGGCGAGCTTGTATCAGTGTATACAAGTGAGAAGTGAAACTTATATACATTACGGGTAGTATTTTTTAAAAAAATTACTAAACACCAGAAAAATACAATTTTATTTCGAGCGGACGAATGCGGAATATTGGTTTAGATTTGTTAAAAATTTTTACGTTTATACCATACAAAACTATAAAGAGGAATTGCAAATCAAAACAAACGCATATGCAATACATATAATACGGATTATCGTTTGCTACTAACAACTTAGTTTTTGAAGCCTCTTAAAATGACTCCTTTTGGGATTATCCACCAGGGGTCACACGTGGCCCGTGACGTAAGGCGTGACGCGTGACGTTAGACTTTTCGTTCTAATACCCTAGTAAATTTCCGTCCTACCGTCGATAAAGAAGTTTCACTCCAAAAATTTAAATAGCGTAAATTAACATAATTATATGAGGTAGATATTACATACGTGGTAATTCGGATGCCGGTGACTTGTGGTTAAAGGGGTGAGAATCGAAGTCGCTGCCATCGATTTCGTTTTCGCTCCACGCCTGTAATCCTATTATAAGAATTCCGAAGACATAAACGGCGAAGTAAATCTTGGTGGATTCCCAGCTTCTCCTCATATCTGAAAACAATATTACAACCGGGTATCAGACTGGTTATAAATGTTCAAAGACAGAAAATCGATTTTGAGCGAAACTGAGGTATGTCAATACCATAATAGCCATAGGTGAATGTACGGAAAAGCATCGCAGCAGAAGTAAATATAAAAAAAAGGGGCATACACCTTAGGAGAATATGTTTAATTTTAATGCGACTAATATTAAAATTGTTACAAAGACTGTGACGTAGCCTCTGAAATAAATTAATCTAAATAACATGTTTAACCCGGGTAATAAATGATTTACTAACCAACATACCTACGCTGAATTAAATAAATAAATTTTAAGAAAACATTGAAGTATTAGTATAAAACATTTGTAGATACATGTAATATTTCTCAATAGGAGGTTAATCAAGTTTTTCTTTGTACTCTTATAGCTTTCCTGTTGTAGCAAGTATATCATTCTTAATATTTTTGTAGAAGACAAACAAATGTTGATTTTCTGTAGGTGTAATCCAAGTAAAAGGGTCGAGATATGTAATGAATAGGGCCTGATATTCTCGTTGTCAAGACAAGAACAGTCATTAGTGAATTCAACCAACCCGCACTAAATACCCAAGCCTGCTACTGAATACCTTATGTCAACAGCTACATTTTCTTGAAAAGAGATACAAACATAATTAAGCTAGAGCGGGAAATGAAACAAGAGCGTACTACTTTGAGGTAAATTGTATGTTGCACGTAATAACGTGTTGTATTTAATAAAAGGAATTTGAATCCGTACTGCTTCTCAATCGCTTAATGTAAAAATTGTTAAAAAAAACACATGTTCGCATTCGTAGAAAGCAAATTGCTTTCCCTTAATAAATAATTCAAACTTCGAGACTTAATGAAATACTTAGGGAAAAAACGACTTTTTCATTAATTTACAATGTATTCAATTTAAAATGAGGAGTAAAACTCAGGTAGTAGATCAATTCGGTTTTCTTTCGACGAATACGTGCTTGAAAGAGTAAAAATATTGGATTTTCTTGAAGAATTCAGATTTAAAATAAGCAAAAATTATTTCCGCTTGGTTAAAATGCGAACAGTGGTCGCTCTTGACGCTCTGTTACAGTTTAGTCTCTTCTACAATTGGCTAAACCCATACCAGTCTAAAATCGAAACTATAATCTATAAACATCCCATTAATCACTCCTAACATATCAAAACACATACATCTTTCAGCATTATAATTATGAATTCAGAAAAATCAAATGGAGTTCTATATATAAATAAAGCATTTAAACTTCGTAGTTGTCATTCTTTGATGAAGACTCAAGTTGAGGATGACACTTTGAGGTTTTTAAAAGTTTTATGTGAAGTTTTGGAAAGAAGATATTTGTCGGGACATTAGGAGAGTATAGCCAAAAGCAAGAGTTAATAATAATTGCCAATTTAGATTAAACCTTTGTTCCCCTTTCTTTTGTTCTCTTGTTTTGTATTGAATAACATCCATAATTCTCGTACAGTTTAAATGTTTGTATAATATTAAACATATTTACATGTTACTGTCCACAAATTTAATTTAATTGATTTGGAACTCCGCTAAATAATTACATGCTGATTCGTAAACAATATTAGTTTTTCCCTCTATAATTTACTGAAATAATATACCAAACCTGCTCCAATTTATTCATAGGAATCGATACATACAGTATCGCCTGTCCTTTAGACTTACGCCTACAGTTATTCCAGTAGACATGCTGTTGTGTACTCTAGCATTAAAGTTAAAATGGTAATAAGAACTTAGAAATAGGTGATGCTTGAACAAAAATTAATTATTTAAAGTTACGTACATTAATAATATTTATCTATGTACCCTAGATGTAATACCCAATATTCGTAAATTTTAGCATTTAAAGTTAAAGCATCGAAAACAACAATTACTTTCTTTCGGCGATGGACAATTGCACTCGGGCACGTAGTTATTACATACACATATATAATTCAGTATCTCAAAATTATGTCAAACTGTTTTGAAGAATTTGTAAAATTAAAATGTAGGTGTATATGTATGTATTGTCACATGCGTATAGGCAACCCCACATACATGACGACAAAAAACACCAAGTTTCTAGATGGTATATACTGAATCATTACGTGAACGAGTTGGAGGTGATACCAAGCGAAGAAGGAAAGAAGAAGTGACAAACTGTGGACACAATTGTATTAATTGTTATTATGAATATATATTCACAGGTGAAATTTATACCATTGTACTAGGCAAGTGCAAATATCCAATTACCGGGAGTCTACCCGAGTGCAATTGTGCTATGTAATTACACTATTACAATTTGATTTTTATCTTAATTACCGATCCCGAGTACAACTGTCTTACGTCCCCTATATTTGCAACCTAAATATAAAGGGTTTTAAGAGTATAAATTTCTCAAAAATTAGGCATAAAGATTAAATCAACATATAACAACAGGAATGACAAAAAAACATTTTGAGTTAATTTATTATAATTGAACCATGATTCTTTATATTCTCGAAGCAGCACCAATTGAATAGAGTCACGAGGGTATTATTAACTAACTAAATTGCTTTCAAGTGGTGGAAAAGCAACTACTGGTAACCTATTATCAGTTTATCTTCATTCTCCTAAGTTAGTTAATTTCCGTATCGCGCTCTTGTGTTAGCTAACAAGAAAGGGTGGAAACAAAAGCTATTTACACAAAGCACTATGACAGAAGATCCTTTCTGAAGGCTATAAAACATCAAGTAGCATACACGGCATCCTTCAGGGAGAAGCAATGATTATAACATGTAGAAGAGTAATGGGAGGGAGACAATTTATACACTCTTGGCACAATTTAGTTTGGTTAAAATTATTTTGAATTACAAAACAACAAAGCGCTACATTATCAAACCGTTTATTATGAACGCTTTTAATAAGCGGCAATTTCCTCTCAACAAAAGATTGTTTCAAATTTATACGCATTCAGTCAATTATGTTTCATTATAAGAAGCGTTTCAATTAAATTGAAAGTAGTATATTAGGAGGTACCTAATACCTGTAAAACGTAATTTTAAAATTGTTTGTTATTTGTTTTTCAATATATTTCTCAATATTGAAACACTGGGAAAACACTTATTATAAAAAACGTCAAGGTAGTAAGCAAATTGAACTACGTTTTTGAATTTCTTTGTACACATTAATTTAATTTATCATTGATGAAAATATGTTATATTAATGGTGGAGGCGCCAGGAAGATAATTTACAAGAGATATTGTTAAGTACAAATCGTTTGAAGCATTGTTGATATTTTTAGTTTTTTATGAATCCTTGTTGTGCCTTGAATCATCAAAAGCTAAATTTGGTGGATTTTTGAGAATCCTTACGTATTATTTATTATTTAATATTATGTATCATAGTAAATATTTCTTCACTACAAAATCGTAGATTGTATTGTTTCACAGGACATTCGTAATTTATCAGAAAAAGTAACAGGTATTGAAAAAAATCAAAGTATTATGTATCTCATAATCATAGTTTTTTAAAAAATTAGTTCATACATGAAAATAATGCAGTATATAATAGACGATTCTGTTACTGTAGGTTTTGCAATAGAAAGTCTTCTATTGTTCAAATTAATTTTGAATTGTAGAAATCAATAAGTTTATAATCGNTACCTGAGACTTTTTTTTAAGTTGGTGCTGAATATGCAATGCGCCAACTCAAAATCAGTTTAATCAGAACCGTAAAACATGAACCCATTTATTAAAGGATTAACAAATTGCCTTCACGGTTAATTGCCGCCAGCGTAGTTTCAAGCAGAATTTAAATATACGCGGAATATAAATTACAAAATATTCCAAATTATTACTACCTATTATTACTTATTTAATTTTTTAACACAATAAATTACCCAAAATTAGAATGCAGAAGTAATTGTAAGATATTTCGTAGATCACATCCCAAGGGTTAGAGGTAGTTTAGAATCCCATGAACCTTAGCCTTGGATTGCGTAGTGACCAAATTAATTTATTTATACATATCTACCTCTCAAAAGCACTTAAAGATTACCCGAAGCTCCATGCCTAGTTATTTATATCATGTGGCACATGGTTAACATTCGAGTCAATGTTTTCGTAATCCACAATATGAATCGAATAAGGTTAGCCTCTGGCGCATAGGAAGACTTATGAAATTTTGAGCCAGCTATATCTACATTCCACGCAGAAACTTATTAACAAAGCACGAATAATTGAGAATCATTTTCGGCTCTCCGGATGATTGTCAGGAATTACTCTGCGCTAATCAAGAACGTTATTTATTAAAGTCTGTTTCTCTTGGAAGCTTTCAATTTATCATCGCTTTCCGCTGGTTCGCCTCGTTTCTCTGTTTGCATATTTATTTTAATAATGATAATGAACTAGCGATGATAAATAGGCCCTCTGTGTAGAATAACAAGTGTGTTTTATGAACACAAACACCTGCGAGTGCGTATGAAAATTAATATTTAATTCGTAACGGGTAAATATTAATTGTCACATGGACTTTTTTATTCTGCAAATGGAATAGCATATATGATTAGGACTGACGACCTTATGATCATGACATAAGCTAATCGGTTGGTAAAGGTCTAGATGATGGGGGGAATCGAAAGAGGAGGTCCCCCCCTCCGCTGTACCATAAAAAGTTCGTGGCGGTCTCACCTCCATAAAAAGTTATAGGGGTTCAAAGTTAATAAATATGCCAATTTTTATACATTTCTAGGCATGTAAATATTTATATAGTCATTCTTAGACAATATTCAAAGGTAAAACTACCATAAAAAGTTCGTGGCGGTCTCACCCCCATAAAAAGTTATAGGGGTTCAAAGTTAATAAATATGCCAATTTTTATACATTTCTAGGCATGTAAATATTTATATAGTCATTCTTAAACAATATTCAAAGGTAAAACTAATG